GACTTTGGTTTCAGAATCAGAATGCAAGAAGGATTTTTATAGCATACCATTGTCAAAGATGCACTATGAAGCTAAATGCAGATGTTTATGGTTGCAAGCCACTGATGAAACTTGAATTTGACAAACAATATAGATATACATAACATGCTAATGTAACTGGAGACAGAATAATTACTTATGGCTACCGCTACCCAGACCCCAGAGTATAAACTTTCCTCCCCAATGGTAAGTTTCCAACTGAATGGAAAGTGACAAGCAAAGGCAGATTACCACCAAAATCACAGCTTTATTTTTCTACATTCACTATTAAAACATTGAGCTCAACATCAATATAACCCCCCCCTTAATCTCAATTTATTTGACCAAAGCGAACACCTGGTAACAATGACTACGTTTACATGGACATCAGTAATCAAATTATTTACCTTATTCGAAATAAGCCAATATTATGATTATGGTGTTTACATGAGTTGCTTTTAGAATATTCCTTTCATGTTCCTGTTTTACATGTTATCACATAGTTCGATTAATGGCGCATGTCATTACCTCCCCACGTGACGCCATCCGACGTCCCCTCCGGAATTTCACGTATAAACATCATCTTCGTGATAAAGCGCTTTATTTGCCGTCAAATGGTTGAGCACTGCCGTGTGTGTATCCTGTCTCAAAATGCGGCGAAAAGTCCTACACGATGGTAATAATGTGATTAATGCCCGGTTCAGACTACACGATTTTGCCACGATTTGCTTGACGTAGGGTGTCGTGGGGATTCGTAAACAACAATGGGCGTCGGGACGCAAGAGTCCATCGTTTCAGCTCGTGTAGTGTGTCATAGTGGACGACAACCGATTCCGTGTCTGCGATGCTTCCCGACATAACGACAGAAAGACTAGCATGTTTAATTTTTTTCCGTCATCCACGACGAGTTCTGTCACATTGGTGACGTTGACCAATAGCAGCACAGAAGTTCTTTCATACACAGGTTTCATGCGAAACGAAAGAGAGATGATGGTGCTGCTAGGTGGAATTATGAGATGGAGGAAAGGTTCGTGGAGCTGTGGCAACATTCCCCCTGCCTGTATGATGTGTCATCGAGGGACTACCACGACAGAACAAAGAAAGAAAAATGCTGGCGAACTATAGCGGAAGCGCTTCAGCACTCAACACTCTTGTTTTCGGAAGTCAGTCGCTAGTTCCGCCTTCTCGATGACATTAACAACACGCGATGAATGGTCGGGAAGCAACGTGTAGTCTGACATGTTTCTTGTCCAGGACACGACAAGATTTTAGGAGTCAAAATCGTGAAATCTGACACAGTGACTATTGTGACCGACAAAAATATTGTGTAGTCTGAACCCGGCATAAGGTGTTTACATGTCTATTCTGCACTTCAGAAATGCGACTAAAATAGGAATACTCCACATGTCTTAATTTGATTAGTGTTTACCTCGAGTATGACTTTAGCCGGATTAAGGTAATCAAAAATCTCTGTTTACTTGGTAGATTCTTAATCAGAGTATTGTCGTCTATGTAAACAAACTCAGTGTTTAGGGTGGACAAGATACCTTACATATAGGGCCCAAAATACCAGAGGTGTACACTATACCTCAAAACAAGATAGCCTACCAAGAGGCTCTGTTAATGGACCATATATATAGCAATAATCAATAGAATAGTAACAATGACAATAAAAACAATGAAGAGAAAAAAATAAATAAACTACAACATGGAACAACAAAGTATAATAATAATAATAATAATGAGAAATAACAACAAAGTTGTCTGTTGCTTGTTAGTTTTTTTTTCAGGTGTCTAACACCAAAACAATGGATAAGGCACAATCAGGAACACAAAGAAACCAAATCACTCCAACAAACAAAGAAGAAAAGAAACCCCATTCACCTTATTACCACCCCACAATATACACAATCAAAAAAAAAAGTGATCATCCAGTGAAATCAACCCCAAAATAAAACAACTTCTGGGTTCCTAAATGAACAGTACAAGCAAGACAAGATGGTACGTAACCCAATACAATCACAAGATTAATAAACACCTAAACACAATCAAGATATACATATATAATTAAAGGAAAATACAAAAAAGAAAAAAAAGGCAAAAAATAACCAAAATAACTTGCATACAAATCAGTTACCCACTCACATGCACTCATGCACACACAATCAACCAAACAATTCAAAACAACAAACAGGCCAGGGGTGTATTCCAGAAAGCAGGTTATGTGGCATACCCGGATATGTTTGAGGATAAGAGAGCGGATAACCTCAGCTTTCGGTTCCAAAATCGGAGGTTACTTTCAAGGTATGTAAGTAACCATAGTAACTTGCTGTCTGAAGGAGCAGGGGTGTATTCAAGAAAGCATGGTTAACTTACTGTCAGCTAAACCCTGAACTTTCGGTTGATTAACCCCAAACCTTGCTTACTCAAGGTATGTGGTTCCAAAAAACGCGTCCGGGAGTAAGTTCATTCAACTCAGAGTATGTTCCTGGTTAAGACTCAACACATTCTCAACAGAGAGACAAATTGACGAGTCACTATGGAAACAGACGCTAAGAAAAAGTGTGCCATGCTGTTTCTTTCTTCTTCTTTTGTTCAATGGTCGTTTACATGCTTAGTGCATATCACCACCTAATTGATGGTTGTGCAAATTTTTTTTTTCCATTTAATCTTTAATCCTTGACAATATTAATTATATTGTTTGTTTGATGCTAATTATATATTAAGTCATATCAGATATGTATTTTGATTTAGAATTTAGACATAGAAAATGCCGATCCATGTGTGAGATGATAAAAAGGCCCAGCAGAGGTTGTACTTCCTTCGCCCGCTGAGGAAGTTCAGCCTGTCACTGGAGCTGCTGAAACAGTTCTACTCCGCCATCATTGAATCTGTCCTCTGCACTTCTATAACTGTCTGGTTCAGCTCAGCTACCAAATCTGACCTCAGAAGACTACAGAGGGTAGTCCGGACTGCTGAGCGAATCATTGGTACAACCCTCCCTTCTCTCCAAGAACTGTACTCATCCAGAGTGAGCAAAAGGGCTGGCAAAATCACTCTGGACCCCTCACATCCAGCACACTCCCTCTTTGAACTGTTGCCATCTGGGCTAAAATCATTAAAAAAATTTTTTTCCCACATTAATGTACACACAGCACCCCATATTGACA